TCCTCCTCCTCCTCCTCCTCCTCCTCCTCCTCCTCCTCCTCCTCCGCAGTGGGCTCATTCTACTACACCAAGCAATGTATAAAGCATACATTTTTAGATAAATCCTATGAAAGGGGAGTCTTCATTTCACAGAGATAGACTAATTTAACTTTGGGCAAAACCAGCAACTAGATATTAGCTTCTTTCTGGTTCCTGTTATTATGTCTATATCAGTTTTCCTCAACCTGATGCTCTCCTAGATGAGCATAGGTCACTGATGCATGGAGAAAAGCAAAATATCAAGCCCATATGTCATAAATTCTTCTCAAGTTTGTGGAAGACAGTGTGTAATATTTTGTTCTAAACCTAAACACACTGAAAATAAAGTTACCAAAACAGTTTAGTTATATAAACATGTTTAAAAATAGTAAATATAAAAGTCTATTTTTATCTCTAGTGAACTTAGGTTCACCTCAAACAAGATCTATATCTTGAATCTTTTATCGTATTTCTTATATATGTAATTGGCATACTTTATAACTTTTTATATTCCCTCTCAAATGCATTAATATTCATCTCAAGGACATCTGCCTTTTACTGACTTTACCATCTGCATTAACTTGTTTTAGAACTAGCTCTGTTAGCTACTTTTTCTTCATTTTGTAGAGAAACATGCTTGTTTTTTTTAATACAGTATAGCACTTCAGTTTTAAAATTATTTTTAGTTCTGAGTCTATAGGTCAAATGGATTCACAGCTAATTCCAGTTTCAATTTTTGGCACATTTTAAACTGTATACTGTCTCCTTCTGTAGCCAGAACATTAACAGGAAGCCTAGACTTATGATCTCCCAAAGAAAAGGAACAGAAGCATGAAAACGATGGCTGCGTAAATTACAACAAATTGCTCTTTGCAGTGACATCCAAATATGTTGAACAGTGGTTTATAGAATACATGGTTCCTTAACATAAAGGTAGTCCTTGTCTTAGGACCAGAATTGGAATTAGAATTTCCATTGCTAACCCAAGGTGGTTGTTAAGTGAGTTGCACCCAATTTTACAACCATTTTTTGCCACTGTTGTTAAGCAATTGTTAAGCGAATTATACAGTCATTAAATGACTCTGGCTTCCCCCGTTGACTTTTCCTTCATGGAAGTTGGCTGGGAAGATCAGAAATGGTGATTAAATGTCCCTGGACTGCTGCAGTCGCCATAAATACATGCCAGTTACCAAGCATTTGAATTTTGAACATTGTTACCATTGTTATGCGATGGTCATAAGTATAAGTCACTTTTTTCAGTGCCATTGTAACTTTGAAGCATTGCTATACAAATGGCTGTAAATTGAGAACTATTTGTAGTAGATTATTTTTAAATATGAGGCAGAAGTATGATGGAGCCATTTTCTGGGGGGGAAAATGTAAAGAAAAGTCAGTTCTCCTGCTACAGGTAATCTGGATTGCAGACCACATCTTTAAGATACAGGCATTATTCCGAAACAAGCCTGAAGTCCTATCTAGTGTAGCCTTAAGCAATTTACTTTTGCTATTTGTTTTGCTTATTCTGATGTTTTGTTTTGATTGCACTCCTGATGCTTCTCTTTGGTTTCACTGCTTGCTGGAGTTTGGGATTTATTTTTAGATTTGATTGGTTTTACTGTGGATCCTTTTTAATTTGTTTTGCAAATTGGGAGCTGTTAGATTTGAAGGACAGTCAAGACTCTGCTTAACAAATAAATATAATAGAACATTTTGAACACATAGCATTCTGCATTTGTTATCTATTGCTACCGTGCATCCTATCAACGTGCTGCAGTGGTTAAAGATCATCTTCACTGGATGGAATTTTTCCTATTGTACCATCCTCTGTAAAGTTTAAAAAATTGAACTCAGAATCCCTTAGGAAAACAGGACACAGCAAGGCCTGCAGAGATTTTAGACTACATCTTCCACATTTGACCGTGTCTTCTGGGGTTGACCACATCTAGGGAGCCATCTGTTGCCAGCTCAGATTTATCATTATGATTCATAATACCAGTATGTTGGGTCAAAGCCACTAGTATTTTTAGGAGAAGCAAAATGGGCTCAGCGACATCCAAGGCAAACCATAGCAATGCCAAAATTACATCCTGATGTTTTATGCAAATACTCAATTTACAGTATTTGTATAATGATTTTGTTATTGACACATTATCATTTGCTGCTCTGCTGTTCTCCACTCAGCATCCTTGAGGAAGATCCCAACTTCTTGTACTGGGCTAAGTCAAGTCTCATCAAATCCTTGCTGAGAAGATGATGTTAAGAGTGCAAAACATCACTAATACAGCAGTGCACATGCAGTTTCCAGGCCCAGAAAATAACATCTTTTTCCTCATTGTCTGAAAACAGTTCCAGAGCTTCCGGAAGGAACCAGGTGCCAACGCTCCTCTTGCAATTGCCAGCCATAATTGGAAAGGAGAGAGATATATATATATAGTGAAAAAGAGAAGCTCTCTCTACTGTCTTTTGAGAAGCAGCTTATTAATTCAGATGCACCATGGGAGGGTAAATGCAAGGTGCAAAGCAGCATGTACAAGTGGTGGGGGCGTTACAGAAGCCCACTGTGGAATTAATTATCATTGCTGTTGGAAACAAGCCAAAGCCCAAGGCTGCTCCCCAGAGAAGCGGCAGATAGAAAGCCGGGGAGGGGGGGGGGACATAAAGAGAGGCAGAGAGCTCGGGATTCTGAACACAATAAATACTGCGGAAAGAAGTTCACAAAAATGGGCTTTGTTACATACAAGTATCAAAAACGTTTAAACATGAAAGATCGGATGTGAAAATGAGCTGTATTAACATTAAGTCCCGATGGGTGTTAAGAATATTTTTTTTTTATTAAGGGATTTGTTTCAGAACTTTTTGGAAGCCTGCTCAAAATACTGTATATTGTCTTGCTGCTCACCTAAGTTGTGCAGGTGAGCTGCAGGACATGGGGCTCCAAGCAGTTTTCTCTAAAGCATAGAGGTCCCTTTTATCAAGAATTGATTTTCCTGAAGTCCTTCAGAATGTAATAATTAGTTCAGATCTCCAGACTATTTCACACCCTCATCAATGCAAGGTAGACTTTTCCTTCCAGTAGTGCCTAAGCATGTCCCACACTTCTTTGGGAAGTTGTTCCAAATGTTTTGGACTCTCCAGTGTCCTCAAATTATTATCAAGCTTTAGTTCCAACACAATTAGCTGGCTGCCAGGTAGAAATGAATAGTACAAATGAACGTTACGGGAAGGAGGAATACATTTGGTGAGCAATATGGCACATGTATAGGATAGATGCAAATATAAATTTTGGAAATGGACCATCACCAGATGATTCCTCTTTATAGATTCATTCTCATAATCCAAATTCTCTTAAGAACCAAAGCTGGAGACCAGTAGCTGGTAGCTACTGAAACTAAACTATCCATTCTGTCCATTCTATTATTTTGCAAACTGTGTTCTGGTAGAGGCACAGTTTGCAAAATAATAACAATTACACATGTAAAAGAATTAATCAAATGTGCAAATAAACATATATCAAATAAAACTTAGTTTTTGTTGGCTCATGGATAATCTTATGGAGTGTCACTCCTAAGTTATCCACTTGTAGGAATACAGTACATGCTGATTTATGGTCGTGTCATCCTGAATCTAAGCTGAAAATAACTATGCCAGTCAATGCTATATCTCAGCCTAGATGTCATACTGTGGCATCTGCATACAATATTCATTTGTTACACTTTAAAAAAAGATCTACCCAGTTATGGATATATCTTAGTGGATTACCTAAGCAATTGCTCTCAGGGGTTCCCAAAGTCAATTTAGTATATTAAATTAGGATAATAAAAACCATCAGCCATAGAGGTCCACCAGAAGCCATTAGACTCTCCTTAGAATTGACTGGGATCAGTTATTCTCTCTCAGACCAAGCTACTTCACTGAGCTGCTATTATGAGAGAAAAATAAAGTTAATTAAATAACAATTTTATCAATTCAGCTCGAAGCCAGGAACTTTAGCAACTTTACATATAGAAAAAAAATGTGTAGTTGACCAAAAGACTAATTTTATAACAGAAGAGAGAACAAAAATCCAACTTGTAGAAACTCCACAATTATAGTTTCCAAAGGACTGGGCAAACAGCCAAGTTTTTAACGATTTTTCAAAAGGGTGAGAAATGTATGGCTCTCTGGGGGAGGTGGAGTTTGCAGGTGTCGCAACAGAGAAAGCATTCCTCCTGAGTTCTGTAAGATGACACTGTTTAATCAATGGGACCTGGAGCACATTTGCTATCTCACTGGATAGCCCGAATTAATCAGAAATAAGTGATCCCTCAGAAAGACAGGAGTTCTGCCATGATAATTACCCAGAAGCCAACTGGTAATCAGTGCAGCTCATGGAGAACTGGACTCACATGAGCGCAGTGCAATATTCCCATTGCCGTCTACACTGCCAAATTCTGAACCAGCTGTAGCTTCTGGATGATATTCAATGCAGCCCCATGTAGTGCACGTTACAGTTATCCAATCATGAGGTGACCAGGGCTTGAGTGTCTCCCTAAAGGGCAGTATACCCTTCTACAAATCTAAAAAAGAAAAAAAATAGGTGAGTCAGCTGAGTCACCTGTAGAATGTGGTATCATCTGGAATTTGTTGCTGTAGCCTGAAGTCTTCCTTGATTGTTTCTAATACTGCTCCCACTACCACGTCACTAGCGTCTGCTTGGATGACGAATGGTTGTTTGGGGTCAGGATGCTTCAGCGCTGGTTCTTTTGCAAACAGTTGTTTGAGTGTTTCAAATGCCTTGTGACGGGTTAGGTCCCACTGTAGGGGTTGTCCTGGGCAGAGTCTCGTACCTGGGTTACTGAATCTCAAATGAGGGCATAGAGATGCACCCAGCCAAA